CGGCTTATCTTCGACTCTCTACCGCAGGTCTACGTTTCTCAACATCTATTCGTGTGCTATCTTAGAATCGGGATATTAATGCGTTTTAAAATCCCGCTCACGTCGCGAATGTCTCGAGTGGGAACAACTCGAGTGGCTTCGTGGTTCATTTCGCTGAGACAATCCGATGGTAGGATAGCTGAGCTTAACCCCTCGCCTTCATAGCCATCTAGATCGTCAACCTAGACAGGGAGAAGTGTTTCCCAGGTGGAAACGGCCGTGACCTGACAGCTCTTCCCCGAGAAGGAAAAGAAGAGCACGTCTCCAGTCTGCGCCTCATGCACCTATCAACACTGATCAGTAGACCATCTATGGTGTCACTAATGTGCAAATTGAGGCTGTTGTTTTACTAGCCAGCCTAGGGCCTTTAGCATGTTGATTCTAGTCGGTATACGAGCAGGGTCGGATGGAACGGGTGTATGAGGCCCAATGTTCGGATGCTCATCGTATAAGACCTGTGTACATGTGCCACCAACCGTATCACCGCAACACTCACTTACACAGATGTTCTCAACTGGGAAGTCAAACAGGGACTGCAGTGTATGTGCTGTGAGGAAGGCATCGGCACAAGCACCGTAAAGGGGCGATGCAGATGCCGGATAGTTGCAACCAATGCATAATGCGCGTTTACGACTACTACGGACATTGCCTGTGGGAATATGCGGCATTGCTATGATAAAACGATAAGTGAACTAGTTGTGGTACTGGACTATTCAAGATCCTTGCAGACAAGAAAAAAATCGAGTCTCTCTCCCAAGCATAACCGTTGCGCTACTATACTCAATCGAATCTGCCCTCATGCTTGTGATCTACTTACATGTTTAAAAGCTATCTGTGGAGGAAGTGAAGTCAATTCCCTGGCTAGAACCAACCAAAGTCGCTCCCTATCAAGTCATTGCTACGCATATCCTCACTATAATCCAACTCATCAAAATCATAACCAGAATACATTTGCAAGATATAACCAGCACAAAGAATAAACTAACCTTCTCACAGAGGTGAGACTGCCTGAGCCACTTTATTGAGTAACAACTATGAGACACTCTAGCTGAAGGAGACAAATCACACAAACACTTTACGGCTATCGAACGATCAGTTTATCATGTTGGACCCACGAATATCAAGACTAGTTGGGCGGTCAACGGTTAGGTGAATGACTAGGGTTCAATGTATTGCTTTCGACAATTGACTCGGGCATGATAGGCTGAGCCAATCTCGGAATATATCCTCAGCAGTTCGCTCGATAATTATGTGAGTATACGTACAAGTTCGTGTAAACGTTGAGAAAACGACAACCCCAAATTTCCATATTGTCACCAACACATCCGACACTGGGCTGAACACAACAGCTGTATATTTCGAGCATCTGGAATCCAACCTTAGATCTACTAATAGTATCATCAACGGTACAGACCAAATCCAGTTTTGGTATTAACTGGATTGGGATTGCCATACTACAGCTATGGCGTGACCGAAAAATATCCATAATCGTATTATCAATCGTAATCATGATCATTATTATCATCAGCAGAAAGGGATTCAGCAATGTCGTCATTATTATCATCAATATTCTATAGAAAAGGTTAGCAAAAGTGATTCAAGGTGAGGGGAGGAGGAAAATCTATCAACGGCAGCAGCAGCAGCAACAACAACAAGGGTAATAATAGTAGCAGTAGCGACAACGAGGGCCGGCTGGGACATAACTACTAGGACGAACAACTACCGTCTCGAGGCAAATATCATCATTATTATCTATCGGTCTAGTTATGATGGTAAGTAGTCGTAATAGCAGTAATAGTAGCACTGAATGGAGTGATACACTCTAATTGGTAGTTAGAAATGATGCCAATATCGTATTCATAATATCGTATTCATAATACCGTATTCAATGGGATAAGGATAATAGTAGTAATCGTATTGACCACGGGAATAAGTCATAATAATAGTAAATATTATCATCATCATCATTAATCTCAGCAACTACCACTGCTACTCCAATACGAATAATAACAAGAACAAATATTGGTAATGGCAACATAGTAGAGACGACTACTCATCAACAGTAGTAGAGGAGCTTTTAACTTCTCCACCGATTGGAGGTGGCTGTTGACTAAGTGGATCCTCCCCAGCACCACTAGCAGCAAGTACCGCCTTTTCCTCAGCAGTAGCAGCGGACTCAGGAGTAGCAGTAGTAGTAGAGGCACCCCAGCCATCTACTCGATCACTGCCACTCACACCTGCTGTGGCAGAAGGACCAGAACCAACCTTGCTGTTACCAGATGCGACAGCGGTAGGAGGAGCAGCAAAGGCGCCTTTAAGACTCTCCCAATTGTCACTGGCAAGACCCTGTTGACCCTTAGTCTTATTATTAGTAGTAGTAGCGTTAGCAGTAGTCGTATTAGTAGTGCCTTCACCACTACTACGATCATGACTAGGAGTTACCGACGATCTTGACATAGTGCGAGGAGCACCATACTGCTGTTGACCCCCAGCCGTCTGCGGACCGGCGGCCCCTTGGGGGGAAGGAGGACTGCAGTAACGGGAATCGTTTTCCTGCATATTGCCAGCACCAGGTTGAGGTGCGTAGTGAGAGCTACCATAGCCTTGACCGTTGTAGTAGTGTTGCCTGCTACTACTACCACCAGCGTACCCACCGTCTTGATGGTAGTCTCGATTGCCATAGTAGGACCCTCCTCCACCAGCAGAACCATGACGATACTGCATACCACCATAGCCGCCTCCCGAGGGGTAACCACCACGACTGTTACTGTGGTCAGCCAACTGAGGGGCCATCTGGTGTCTGCTGCCCCTACGCCCTTGTGGGCTCAACTGTGGGAACTTCGCAATCAACTTCTTAGCGAGGCGTTGATGGCGACTAGCATCAATATCGTTCTGAGCCCTACCGCCACCGTAACCGCCATGGGAAGGCGGAGCTTGCTGTTGTTGCTGATGAGGATTAGGACCAAACATGAGATCAGACACACAAGGCTGGACCGCATCCACCAACGTTTGGAAAGCCTTGCCACCCTCCTGACTAGCCAAAGTGAGCATTTTCTGCAGGACGTAGTTGCCGTATTTGTCCAAGAGTAGTTCCCTCACTGCCCCAGTGGAGACTATCTCGTTGATCAATCCACGCACGTACTCAGGAGAGCTCTGGGCCAGAAGGTGCTCCATGCAGTTCGAGGAGTACTTGTGCTTAGACATCTCAACCACCTAAGAGAACACTATCCTCTACTATTGTTAATGCCACCGATACAGCTTACCTGTGGTCTGACAATGAGGCCCATCTGGGCAACAGCTTGGTGCCCCTCATCGGTTTGCATCAATTCACTGCCGCCTTGTAACAGATGCTGCACTGCATAGTTGCCAAATTGGTCCCTCGAAAGCCTCTCAAAATTGTCCACGAACAGCTTGAGTAGTCGTCTAGAGTGCCTTCCCACCACTATCGGGAGTCGTTGCTGCTGCATCACTGGGGTCCTTCCCGGACCGCTTGGTGTTGGTGACGGTGGAGGATCGTTAGGATAAGTAGGCAGTAGATGAGGATGAGCTTCAACCCTGTCCACAGAGGTTGCTCTCTCTATCACTTTCTTAACCGTAACAACTCCCCATTGGCTACAACATATGTCGCACATGCGATCAATGAGAATCTCCAGAAGCCACCCACTTTGGCCCATGACGTCCAAGACCTTCAACAGGACATAACAACCGTTGGGGTCCAGGGCCAATTCGAGACAGCATTGACGGATTGCACCCAGGAGTGGCAACTGATTCGAACCATGGTACCTAGTATTAGCCTCAGAAATGATTTTCTGGACCACCCTAGTGCCGTGTGTATGCGTGCACATCTCATAGAGAGTCCTTCCACGCAGCAACTGGTTGGAAATTATCATTTCGAAAGTGGGCATATCGCAGACGTCCACGACGGCTTGTGATACATAGTTGCCGATCGGATCAAAGGCCAGAGTAACGAAGTGCGGCACAAGGCGCTGCACAACTTGTTGAACTTCCTCATTGGTATACAGATTATCCTTGCCGGTGCCGTGCTTCCTAAGCATATCTTGTAAGTGGATGGAGCTCATATGATCCTCCGCATAGGCCACTACTTCACGATCAGACAAGCGCATGAACATGTCGAATACGAACGCCTGGCCACCCCCAGGGCGATGCTGCTGTTCCATTACAGCCCTTCTTTGGTAGCTGTCGGGTCCAGCAGGCTGATAGTAGGTCCCAGCCATAGTAAGATGGCCACCACTGTGAGGGTACTGACCAGGACCCTCATAGTAGGCTGGGGGAGAGGGTTGGCGCTCATACGCTCCACCGTAACCACTACCATACCCAGGAGTAGCAGTGTAATACTGCTGACTGCCGTTAGCACCAGTAGCAGGGTCCCCATTGTAAGGAGCGTAACCACTGGTCGGGGGCTGAGCCATATAGTAGCCCCCTTGAGCAGCATCAGGAGTGGCATAGCTAGGGCCAGCATAACCAGTAGGGGCCGACCCTGCCTGGTAGCTGGGGGGGCCAGGGGGCACGCCTTGGCCTGGGACTTGGGTATAGTACTCGTATCCAGCAGATGGGGTGCTGCCAGCCCCACGATAAAGATCAGATTCGTTACCTGAACAATAACTAAGCTGCCACTATGGGAGAGGAGCTCACCTCGAACGTCTGGAGATGCGCCCTGCCAATGAGTTAACCCGCTGGGCCATGTGTCACGAGGGGCCGCCTGAATGAATAATGGTTAGTATAGGCTCATTTGCGAGGTGCTAGGTCAACCTCAAGATATTCCTCAACGACGATACGCTCCCTAGGTAGCCGCTACAGCTTCACTGTTGCGACCGACCAATTTCAATCCCGTTTATTTCATAGTTCCCTCAAATGGACTCTCAGTCCTCAGATACGCATCTTAGGATGAATATAAAGATACAAAATAGGCCCGATTTGAGCCCCTCAGAGTTTCCCCTCATACTCGTACCTGCATATCGGGTCTTGCTGTCCAGCCCGAGGGCGCAGGCATTCCACCTCCAGCACCCAAGAGCCTGGAGTCTCTCTGTGGTGCCGCTGTGTTGGAATTGCTCATGTGTCTTCCAATTGTATAATAATAACAGACCAACGGCTTCTGCAACCAGCAATGATCAACAACAAGACACAACGCAAACCCACGATTAACACAACGTGAGAGCTCAAGATGGAGACGTACACGCGCGCGCCTTCGTAATCGATTTGGACTCGTCGTTGATGGAAGCTTCGGCGGTGGGGTTGCACTGTGTTGCTGTTCCAGGAAGTGGTTGCCTCGTCAGGTCTTGCTCCGCCGTTTTGGGTTTCCCTCGTCAAGTTAGATTTGCTTTCGTCCCTGATCTCGATCCTAGCTAGGTGCCCTTTCGGAAGCTCAACATGGGTTTTTAAGGAGTCGATACCTCATCTGTTCAGCACAAGTGCAGTTTCAGCTACTACAAACTGCTATGTAGACTAGCAGTCGAAACGCGGATACTTTAGAATAGGATTACGTTTTCTCATCACCACTGGTCTTACTTGTGCCGGGTAGTAGTAGTAGTGGTGGTGGTGGGGTAGTAGTATTATCCCTGAAGATCTCGTGGACCCTTAGTTAGCTTGTTGTTGCTGTTTAATCCTACCAGACTACTATCACTAATGTCAGTCGAAGCAGTGATGTTGTGTCTGGACACCTCCGAGTGGTGTCGCAATGCTGATTACGTGCCCGACCGTATTCAGGCCGAGACCGAGGCTGCCAATTTGATATGCGGTGCGAAGTCCCAGCAGCATCCAGAGGTATACAAGCCAAGGCGTCTCAGAGTCCACTTCGAATTCATCTCAGACCGCAGTGGGAGTGCTTACAATGAACGGCAGTAGTGATGGCTCCAGTGTAAACGTAAGGCGTATGTGCCCAAGTAGCATGGTTTAGGATTTTCTGCGCATATTCAGCTCCAACAGACCCCCACTACTAACCTCGGCGAGATGCTTACAGCAATATCAGATTTGAAACCTGAGGTCAAAGACTTTGGTCCGGATGGCCCTAAGTCCGCTGATCTGGTACCACACCATCACCGAATCCCGTCCGTTCTCTTTGGAGGTCTCGACTATCGGCGTTCAGGTTCGTGGGATACAGATCGCCCAGTTGGTGCTGAAGCATAGACAGAATAAGAACCAGAAGCAACGCATCGTATGCTTCGTCGGAAGTCCAGTGAGTGCCACTAAGAAGCAAATGGAGACGCTTGGGAAGAATCTCAAGAAAAATAATGTGGCTATTGGTAGTAAATATGGTGTGGTGGTATGTGCGTTGGTTAACATTCGAGAGGTTGTGGGTTCGAAGTCATGTAGTGCATTATGGAAGTACCTTTACGTTGACAGATATCATCAGTTTTGGTGAAGTCGATGCTAACAAGCCCATGCTCCAGGACTTGCTCGAACACGCCCAGTCCAGCGGCAACAGCTGCATGGTGAGCCTCACTACTTCTCACTTGGACAAATGAAGTTCTTCTGATATATAAGCCTCTTTGGGAATAGGGGGCATGCGGTATTGGCCTTCCTCAGCTGAATCCAGAATTCTCCTCAATTCCCCTCGGAATTTCCGCAGATGTCACCTACACACGTAGTTGAGCATGTGCATATCTTTCCACACCGGGGGCGTGTTGGAAATCTAAGTTGGTGTTGATTTGCGGCCTTCACAATGTTGAAGTTTTGAGAGCCGTCAAAATGATACTTAGAGAATCAGATCGTGTCGTTGAGGCGTGCATCGGAATCAGTAGTGGAAAAGGTTGGTTGCCTCAGCTGAGCTTAAGGGATACCTAGTTGCATTAGTTGCATAATAGTAACTTGAGATAGAACTGCACCAAAAACCAACAAGAATTTCCTCATTGTCCGAATTAGTCTGAATGAGGCGTAACCATCGCGCTCCTTCCCTGTGGAGTTGACCTGATCGATGACGCGCCTCAGGTGGAGATTCCTCCCCACACCGACCAGATCATGTCGGATGTCCTCATGGGCACACCCATTGTAACGCCCGAGGGGGCAGCCCCTCCAGCTGCTGCTGGAGACGGGGGCTTCGAGTTCGGAGTGGACCCCAGCCAGGACCCCGAGCTGGTAGGTGGAGCTTGTTACAACCTGGGGCTTTCATCGCTGCTCACAGGCGATGGCCCTCCGTATGTCTATGGAGGAAGAAAGGGCTCGACAGGGGCAGAGTACGGCGGCAGATGCCTCCGCTCAGCAAGGAGGTAGTAGGCGGAGCGTAGCACGTTATAGTGGTCATCTGAAACTGTTGCGGAGGGCTCGTTATATTAGGCCCTGCGGGGACGGGTGTGGAGAGCTCCGTTGCTACGCCCCAGATGGATCCAAGGCTTCAGGCTGCTCTGGCTGATGCTGCTGCGGCTGGGGAAGAGGTAGGTCTCTTGGTGATGTGGCAGAGGAGTGGTATCGTTCTCTTAGGTTGATGATGAGCTACGTCAAGCCTTGCTATTGTCGCTGCAAGAGTCGGATACCCAACAGAACAGCCAACAGAAAACGGAGGAAGAAGGTAATGGGGCGCAGCTGGTCGTAGGAGTTAGCGATTGTGATGGTAGGGAAAGATAAAGAAAAGACGCCCGCTGCTGAAGAGAGCACGACTGCTAAGCCGTCAGCGCCATCGGCTCCTGCGCCGGCTGGTGACGATATGGACGAGGAGTTGAGGAAGGCGCTGATGGAAAGCCTCGAGGATTGGGACGGCGGGTAGTCTAGTTAGCGATCCTTTGGGATGGCGATTTGACTGTGGTGCGGTAGGGAGAAAGCTGGTGGTGACGGAGAGGCTCCAGCTGAGAAGAAGCAGAAACAGGAGCAACCTTCTTCTTCATCATCATCCTCCTCAGCGGCTCAGGGACCTTCCGATGATGCTGCCATCTTCCAGGTGGGATTTGAGATACCCTCATTTCTGATAGGGGCATTTCCTCAGGACCCCTCCATGGTCGCTGAGCTCCTCAGTGGTCTGCCAGGAGTGGATCTAAACGATCCGAGGATACAGGAAGCGTTGAAGGATCTGCAAGAGTGAGTTGAGCAGGGTGTGGTATGGGGCAGGCCTGATGCTTTCAGGGATAAGAAGGAACCTTCTGATAAAGATGATGATGAGAAGAAAAAGTAACTCTCATTGTAGTTGTAATAGACATCGACCGAAATCGAGATGGAGTTTTCGTGAACTTCTTTATTACGAAAATGGTTGAGTTGACATAGTCAGGGAGGTTGAGGGGCATCATGTAAGAGGTGTATATTACATCAACAAGTGGTGAGGAGTGGAGTGTTATGACCGTTGTATTGTTGGGATATGTCTACGTGCTCGATCACAGGCTGATACAGGACATGAGCTCAGATGGTCATAGTATATGAAACTAGCAAAGTTGATTACATCACACCATGATCAACTTTTTCCTTATGCTACTTGAGAAAGCGAGTTGAAACTGTGTTGGGAGTATGGTTCTAGCAGGGTTTTGCGATACGGAAAAACCCAGGCTTGATTGGAAACTTACATTCAACGTCTTCTAGTTTGTCAGCTCAGGCAGACGAGGTTTTTCTACTTGTGCGGTTGGCTTTGAACCGAACAGGAATTCGCAATCAGAAGAGTAAAAAGTCACAAGATGCCGCTTGAAAGACATTATTTTGCAAATCACTGTTGATAGAATCGCCATAAATTTCCCTACACTGTGACGAGGCTTCGCCAAGAGATACCAAACATCAGCTTTTCCCGTAATTACTCTGCAATAATCAATCTATTATTTTGGTCGTATGCGGCCGGAACAATGGAGTATTCCTACAACTGCTCTACTGGGAGCATATGAATACAGGCCCGGTTATTGTGCAGGGGTTTATGATGGGAATCACTTGTACTGTGGCGTTAGAGAAACGAATGAACATCATCTGCTCAAGTGCATGAAACCCGGGAGCGGCTTCTACCAAGAGGAAAGGAAGCATCTTAGGTTCGCCCTAGCCTGTCCCTGAGCGCTAGTTTGTGTGATCAATGAGTTTGCCTAAATTCATCCCCCTTGGAGTAAGAAACATCGGTGCTAGTCTTACTAAGCCGGTTGTCTTGGCGTTGGATTTTAAACTCACGCACGCACATACTCTGCAGTTTTGTAAGGGCACATCTAACTCGTACTACATCTGCAAGTGCGCCCGTTATAACGTGCGCTACTGTTACGAGACGAGACTGATGAGATGAGACGGATGTAGCTGGAGATACCATTAGGATTTTATTCCGTACGACGGTTTTTACCTACTTGGTGTCGCCCTATATAAATACTTTATGTTTGGTTCTACAGTTCCACCACAGTCTCACTTTATTCCGGATATCTGGTTCCTCTTTGGTGAATTTCATCAAAGATGAAGTCCAAATGTCCGTAGCGTTCCAAGGAAACCAAGAGAGTCATGCCCGGTGGTTAACGAACGAACGGGGTCTGTAGCTGTTGACCACTTTTTCTCCTAGGAGTTTCTATTAGAAATGCATCGACGCTAGCTCCCATGAATGACGGCAGTATAACACGGGCGTTTATTATTTTTCGGCTGTTGTGTTGCGAACAAAGCTTTACTTGAGGCCGAGGCAGTTTTGTCTCTGCTGAGCTCGCTTCTACGGGGAAGCTCAAATCTCAACAGGATGCATTCTGATACCACAAACTAGTCATCGCCGCGTCGTCTTTTTGATGACAACATACACACCCTCTTCCACTACGATGTATTATGGCATACCATTTCAGTGAGAAATTCTTCCCTGTGCGATGAGCACGCTTGAAGGGGAACTGTATTGACAAAATGAGCGCAAGCCCGAGCGAAACCTTCCTTGTGCGGCGCGGAAACTATTTCACTCCAAGTGTCGTAGCGATCGACAGTGTACTACGTCACCCGAGGAAGTCACTCTAACGCCAACCATATGCGTGTTTCAATATCGCACTGAATGATGCCGAATTCGGTCAATCACGAGTGGTAGCAGCAGCACTGGTATACAACTCAATACAGCAATGAAGACTAAAAAATAGTACAGAATTTACCCGAATGCTACCGATGGTAATTTTGCATTTGCAAGTGGTGACGAAAAACCAAGTTGGGTCAGGTCTCTTCTTCGCCCAGGTCGGAAAAGATGCCGGAATCGCCATCCTTATTGTCATCATCATCACCATCGTCAGCATCGTGCTGAAAAATTACGAAAAAATACTGGAGGAACAGATGTGGACATGAAACGAATCTTGAATGTACTTCACAGAATGCTAGACAGTTTCCTAATAATTACCGTAATCACGTCTAAAAGACACCAAAAGGATTTCAACCAGAAAATGCCAACAACCATTGGAGTAAACGAAGGAGGGAAACTGCTCGATAGCAATTCTTCCTTAATTAGAAATTTTGAGGACCGAAAACGAGAAATTTTTCAATTTTAAATCGAAAAATTTTCCCCAATACGATAAAACTTGTCCTGTGCTGGCCGTACTCATCCACGACTACGCGAGATCAGCAGCCAAATTACGCGATGACTAGAATTAGGATACTAAACGATTACAATCATTCAATATAATGTGGATAAATATTTCCAAAGTCATATACGCCTGTTGATAACGATGAGAGAATGCTAAAGTTTTGTTTTTTGTACCCTCTTACACTAAGACATCTATGAGGGAACTCTCGAGCTCAGCTGAGAGAACCAAGCACATATATCAACTCTAATTCTGATAGAAGACGACGTTGTGGCTTACCAAATCAAAATCCCATGCTCCGCTGACCGCGCCGCTATAGCCAGTATGAATCTTAGAAGCTCTCGGGGATCGGTATCTTTCAAGACGACCATAAATCGACGTAAAATGCGTCCCACTCACCCTGGAGGTTTCGTAGGTTCTCGCAATTCTATTGTAGGCAGCTGCTTTAGAAGATTCACCAACGCTTCCTTATCGGCTTGGCGAAAGAATGCATCATGTCGAGTTAGCAGTTGGTCAATCGAGGGTCTGAGAAAAAAATTTAATGAAAAAAATAGAGGAAATATCACAGCATAAAATTGGAAATATTTTCTCTATAATGGAATCATCTGGAAGCTCACCGTTTGCTGGGGTCTTTCTGGAGGCAGTCGGCGACCATTTTGACGAATGACGAGTCCCATGGGGTGGATTTCGTTCGCTCCAAAGTCGGCGGTGGATTTTCCAAGATATTCTTCATAACCTGAATATGGAGAAGAAAATCTTCCCAGTGCGGAAGATACCCCACGAGAATCCTTTACAGGGCGGAAGACACTCCACAAGAATCCTTCCCAGTGCGGAAGATTCTATACTAGAATTCTTCGCAGTGCGGAAGATACTATACGAGAATCCTTCCCAGCGCGGAAGATTCTATACTAGAATTCTTCGCAGTGTGGAAGATATTCTACCTTCAATGGGTGTAGATTCTGGTAAGGAGCACTGCCGTTGGCGAGCTCGAGAGCAGTCACACCGAATGACCAAATGTCAGCTTTATAGTCGTATCTTGATGAAAATGTATACGAAGATGAAGCAAAGATATTTTTCTTGCCCGTTTTTGGTCTGCTCAAGGACCTCTGGTGCCATCCAACAGGGCGTTCCAACAAAGGTCTGTCGAGACCTGGAATCCCTCATGGACGCTGAAACTCCAAAGTCGGAAAGATATCTGAAGGTTCGATGAGAAAGATACGGAATAGGTCCGGAAGTGGCCGTACACTTTGCCGTCCAAACTGAGGAGGATGTTGCCAGCCTTGAGATCTCGATGAATTTGCTGATTCGAATGGAAGTGACGAAGCGCGATGGCGGTCTCGTGGAGTATGTAAGCGATGATTCCGATGTTCTGAAGGGGATAGGATTTCGTCACGCGCCACGAAATTATTACGTTAATGCTGTGGCCAGTAGACTTCTTGTACTCTCGTATGACGTTCTGACAGGAGCCGCCGTTGATTAGAGGCATCACCAACCACATTTTGGCGTCCGGGGAAGAGAACGCCGCGTGGTAGGCGATTACCTGAATATCAGGACATTGATAGTAATGGTGGTAATAGTAGTAGTAATAGTAACGGTAATAGTAACGGTAATAGTAACGGTAATAGTAGCGGTGATAGTAGTAATAGTAACGGTAATAGTAGCGGTGATAGTAGTAATAGTAACGGTAATAGTAGCGGTGATAGTAGTAATAGTAACGGTAATAGTAGCGGTGATAGTAGTAATAGTAACGGTAATAGTAGCGGTGATAGTAGTAATAGTAACGGTAATAGTAGCGGTGATAGTAGTAATAGTAACGGTAATAGTAGCGGTGATAGTAGTAATAGTAACGGTAATAGTAGCGGTGATAGTAGTAATAGTAACGGTAATAGTAGCGGTGATAGTAGTAATAGTAACGGCAATAGTAGCGGTGATAGTAGTAATAGTAACGGTAATAGTAGCGGTGATAGTAGTAATGGTAACGGTAATAGTAGCGGTGATAGTAGTAATAGTAACGGTAATAGTAGCGGTGATAGTAGTAATAGTAACGGTAATAGTAGCGGTGATAGTAGTAATGGTAACGGTAATAGTAGCGGTGATAGTAGTAATAGTAACGGTAATAGTAGCGGTGATAGTAGTAATAGTAACGGTAATAGTAGCGGTGATAGTAGTGGTTATAGTAATGGTGATAGTAGTGGTGACAGTAGGGGTGATAGTAGTAGTGATAGTAATGGTAGATTGTAGCGGTAATAATCCTAGTTATATTCTCTGTGATAGTAGTACAGCGCATAACCCTATTACATTAGGATGAGTACACATCCTCATAACTTGTAGCTCCTTACGAATATCATCAAAAGTAGTACCATCCAAGCATTCGAGATCGATCACTTTAATGGCAACATCTTCACCAGCATGATCACCCGTTGCCACACTAGCTTTATATCTGACAAAAAAGGCGTATCTTAGGTTCAACCAAGCCCAACACGGGAGAGGTCCACACAAAGTAAAAGATACCCCATTGTTCATACCAACCTACACCGTAGCAAAAGCGCCATACCCTATAGGGCATTCGAGCTGATAGCCATCAGTAGTAGTCGGCCACTCAGTGGGAGGCTCCTGAGCACACTGTGACGGTGAAGTTGTCCCCGTCATAATAAGAAAGGGTATTTGGAAAAAGTTAAAATGTGAAAATTGACATTCGTGCAACGAAAACTTCGCTCCGCTTGAAAAATCTCGCTCGCCCAGGTGATCGTTTGCGCTCTGATCCGCTATTGTAAGCCCTTATCTCTCTCTCAGTCGCAGCGAGGATTGAACCATGGTAATAGGGGCGATAGAGGAGAATAGTTTATGTAACCTGCTCTCGCTGGAGTTTTTAATTGAAGGTGGGAAAGTTGCATAAACTGTTTTTCGTTCAGGCCAAGTCTGGCAAGACCAACCCCATGCGCAATTTGCGCATCGAGAAGCTTACTCTCAACATCTGCGTTGGCGAGTCCGGCGATAGGCTCACTCGTGCCACTCGTGTCCTCGAGGCCCTCACCGACCAGAAGCCCCTTACTTCAACTGGTACGATCACCGCCGTCCGTTTCCTCGTCAATTTACCTTGTATTTTTTCAGCTCGTTATACCATCCGCTCGTTCGGTATCCGTCGTAATGAGAAGATCTCCTGCCACGTCACCGTCCGCGGTGAGAAGGCCGCCGAGATTCTCGAGAGGGGCCTCAAGGTCAAGGAGTATGAGCTCCGTGATCAGAACTTCTCTGAGACTGGCAACTTCGGTTTCGGTATCAGCGAGCATATTGATCTCGGTATGAAGTACGATCCTTCTACTGGTATCTACGGTATGGATTTCTACGTCCACATGGGCCGCCCTGGTCGCCGTGTTGGTGAGCGCAAGAGAAAGTCTGCTCACGTTGGTCGCCATCATCGTGTTTCTGCCGAAGAAACCAAGGAGTGGTTCAAGACAAAGTATGACGGTATCATCCTCAACTAAGCAGTGCCGACTCTTGTGAAGATGTTGACGGAATTTGGCTTTCGGACCATTTCAGCTGCGAGGGGAGATTGTTTTATTGTTGAGTTTGCAGTAGTACATAAATAACTATGATAATGGAAGTGTATGGTCTTCTTATTCGGTAGGGCATTTCGCTGAGGAAAGCTGCAGATCGCTCGTGTTGACGAAATCGGTGTATATGTGAGTTTTAGCACAAACGTGATTCGATATGTTCTTTTTACAAATTGCCGAGGTAGCCTTACGAGACTTCATCACGGTAGCGTCGCGCTGTATTCTGTTTCGGGAGAGTTAAATGACTTTCCATAATTTTTTAATTTTTTTATTTTTTTCCATAAGAACCCGAAGTAATGCCCGTTTCAGCTGATTACACAACTGCCTTTTCATCCACTTAACGAAGGTAAACACTGGTTTTTATTCATTTTCGATGATGAACAACAGGTCGAGCGCGAGTGCATTTCTTGGTCCGTTTCTATTATAAGCTTATCTAGGGTGAAAATTCGGTTAATCGCATTACCAAGTACTGACTATTGAAGGCTCCAGAGATTTGATGGAGAATCATCTTCGCAACCATGTATGCTTGGCTAGGTTGAACAAGCATCGGATGATAGTCTTATCAAACTGTGTGATCGGTGTTGGACTTTGACGTCACACACTTGAAACCGGAGTTGAATTTGAGCAGATCAAATAACGATGGTGACTTGTTACAACAGTTCAGAGACTGAGATGGATATATACATGCAACTGAATAGGCGAACGACATCTCCACGCGTTCCTGTGGAATGCATTCTTGAAATGGAGGGATCGCAAATTGTATGATGATCGATATGGAAGTGTTGTGGGTGTAGTGAGACTGAACATGAATGAACCAAGGGAATAGTATAGTGATCCATGCTGTGCACCACCGGAGTGGTTTACTCAACTAATCAGATGCAACGGAAGTCCAGGGAATGAAGGCCGATGGAAATAACGCGGTATGAGAATACCTAAGGCACCTCGCTTATATCGATTTCGCGACGAAAGCAACAGTCAGAATACATCACTTCAAATCCTTATTGATAGGTCAATTTATTGGGCGAGGTTAAAGTGAGGCGTGCGCGATTGCAACGGGGTAAAGAACATATGGGGAGTCCCCATTGGGGAGTCCCAACCCATCCTACCCAACCCATCCTCCCATGTTATCTAGGAGGCCCATGTTGCCCCGCAGGGATGTATAGCAACGGATCATTGCTTAGTAGGTGCAGCATGTGCACAACTAGCATGGTAATACCGCGGCCGATATGGGCGGTTCGGGAAAGATAGTCCATCGCTGACAACTGCATTCTACACCTTCGATTCGATTATCAAGTCCTGATGATCAGGGCTCTCGAGCAGCCCCGATTCGGGGCTGCTCGAGAGCAGCTGTCAGCAGGGCCAACAAGCGGACCAGTCGAGAGTCCTTCAACATGTTATCTACCACTCGCTGCTTCTACGTACGTCCTAGCTGCCTTAACAATTAGCTAACGTCTTTCACCGAATCAACTACCCAACATTCTTAGATAACAAACCAGGCATGCTTTCTAATAGAAGGTTTCTATTCTTGTTAGCCGACCATACATATAGAAAGTTTCTATGTGTATGGTCGATTAACAAGAATTGACCCTCGAGTTCAACATACTGAATGAGGGAGCCGTCGATGTCTGGGCTTACAGATATTAGTGCCTTGGACGTTGGCTCTGCAGCCTCTTCATAAGGTATTTGTCCGCCCAGTGCAGGGGGGAAGTGTACAATCGCGTGAAACGACTCTGCGATTCGAGTTCGAAGAAATTTCACCCGAAAGTCCGTCACAACACGCGCAGCTCTGCTGTACAAGTTAGCATGCGCATTGATACAACGTTCAAGAGGCTGGACATATCTTCGTGCCCCACTGGTTCAACACAAAAGAGGTGCACAGTGTAGAAATCGATACGTTTTTAGTTGTAGTATAGCTCCAGGCCCATCCCATCGTGAATCTCATAATCAGCCAATGTGATGTGATCCTTATACACATTGTACCATTTTTGAATCCTGATCTTCTCTGGTCGAGTACCTGTGAGAGCAATGTTGGAATATGTTCGCTTTCCTCAACTCATCGATGATAGAAAACTACGTACAAATTCGGATAGAAGTGCACAGAAACCAATAATGGCTTCATCAAATTCCTTTGAAATTTTTTCATGTCACCGACACGTGATTGAATGTGTGCATACTCTCCCTGGTGCGCCCTAAGTTAATACTAAAACCAACCTATTTGTGCTGCTAGCAGCTTCTTGAGATCACCAATGGTATCATCCGGATTGCACTTTACTCTTATCTTCTTCCCCAGACGGTCGTTGCAGACTACCTCAATCATAGCGTAGAAATGAACAACTGAATTCAGCCTTTCACAACAGCTCCAATAACTCCAACAAAACGGCAACATACAGCACGCTCAGTAGTGATTTTACAACGGAATCATGAAACCCACAATATGGTTCACTGAGAATCTCTGGTCTTCATTTCAAATAGTCGATCGAATTCAAGAGGTTCCTTATCGCGTGACCGTCTTCGCCATGGTATTCCAAACGAATACAAGAGGAATCCTGCCGCGCACAGGAAATAACCGATCCAAGCAGAGGATGGTATGTCAGCAGGATGGGTGACCAAAGAGACTACTGTGGTCAGAAACTTAGCCACTGTGTTGAACACTTGCATGGACGTAGCCGAAGCCCTCAGTTGCAATTCGAACATTAGAACACCGATTGCCAAGCATAACACTGAACTACCGATGAGGAGACTACCACTTCTCTCCATCACAGAGGAGTTCACCATTGAAACCTCATCGGTGATACCAATCACGAGAGCGAGGAAGGGCAGCGACAAGGTCAAACGGTAGAGGTTGAGACCCACAGGTGTTTGCTCTTTTTTCAGTCGACACATTATAGCATGTTCATAAACACTTAGTCCTCCTACTAAAAATGTGTACAAAAATGCATAGCCGATTCCCTCGTTTTCCCATGCTAAATCGTTCATAGTAGCTACGATGTAGCCGACGATTATAACGATCAGTGCTGCAACTCGGTCCACACTTATGGTTTTCCTTAGGATCAAAAACTCCAAAACGGCAGTGCATGCCGGCCGAGCATTGCAAGCAACGACGTAGATCGGCACTGGTATAACCCGAAGAGCTCTCAGGCTCGACCAAATCACCACGACCATCCATATGGCATTTACGAGGGCCGGCAAAAGATGAGATCGCCGTACCGAACGAACGCCTTGCAGACGGCTCGCGACGAGGACTATCGTGCACAGCAACGCCCCTGTGTTTTGAACCAACACGGTTGACCATGGATAGGGGTAAGACACCGCGAGGGTTTTGTTCACTAGAGTCAAACTGATGCTCACCAAACCGTATAGTGTGAACAACAGGGACGTCTTCAAGGCAGCAGTGGAGGGCATGTGGTGGAATAACTATGCAGCGACGAGCAACCCAAGTCGTACGCTGAGCTGAGGTAGTCGCAATAGAATGGTACTGAATTTAGGAAAGTCGACACAAAACCGACACAGGCTAAATAGAGATGCCCTTATCTGCTCTCCGTGATACCTTCGAGCGACTCCGAGATACTACTTTCCTTAGGCTACTGTAGTGAAGCTAAAAGCAACTCCCGATGATGATGATGTAGATGTGAAGTCAATCACCACTGTTACACTCTCAACTGTCGCAATGCCAGTGTTAGAATATCTGTTCGTTGTCCTCAGTTGAGCGTTTTCCTCACTACTTCTGGAAGTTTACATACGAAATCGGGTAGGAGTGTAGACAAACCAACAAGAATTCCCAAGAATTTTCTCCCAATTTTCATATTGTCACCAGCACATGTAGTTGATCATGTGCACTTGATTCCACACTCTATACCATGTAAGAAATGCACCCCTGACGGCGAATCCTTCCATGGGTTTCTGTCGATCAACAGAAGGGGTTAAAGGAGCTCCCAGAGAGACGCCAGCCTTATGACTTATCACGCAGTGTACAGTGCGTGACAATTTGATAGTATTGATAATCGATCTGAAACTATATAGCAGATATAATGCAAATGATTACTATGAACATGTACTGCAACCAGAGTAGAGATAACTTGTTCACTATGCCAGGTGCGCCGAATTTTCGGGTAATTTCAAGTCAACTTAGAATCTAGTTTCGACATAAATTCGGAATTTCACTGCTGTCCAATCCCGTAGTAACTCAAGGGGAAGTCACCACAACAGAAACTTCTCATTTCTTACCACTCTTGCCCTCACTTACGATTCCACAATCTGCTATTACAGCGGGAACTCGAGGCTTGCCTTCATCATCATCAGCAGCGCATTCCACGTTAAGGCGTTCTATCACTTCCATACCGGCAACCTAAGTCGACTTTCACTCTTGCAGATTGACTTCTACGAGGAGCAACCTTAGAAACGCTTAGTGCTACTATTCAGCGTCACACATGATGGGGCCCCCACTCTGTTAATCAGTATGCAGACACGATTCTACTCACTACTAACATGCGAATACAGCAAGCTTTTTTCAAGGTTAATTCCGATACCACACCATCGCCACATCTGATTGAATATATCCTGCCAATTACGGGACTCAAACAAGCCTAACCGAAATAGTAAACTCCCGTCCACGCGATCGAGCTTCAACTCACTAGAGTTGATTGAGATCCAATAGCTCCCACCGGGGGAGTTATTTAATAGATTTGGAAATGGTGTGGTATCGTGTTATGGCCAACCCTATTACCACTCTTCCAAAAACCACGTGTTTGCCATTCAACTGCGGCGTCGCCTCAAACGTTATATAAAACTGCGAAGTATTGGAGTTCTTCCCTAAAAACAACACTCATGATCTCTTCGCTGACCTATCCTATATCTACCCGTATTGCACATCCCGATCACACCCGCTCCATCGTGCCGCATCTTCAGCCCGGCAACATCATCCTTGAACTTCTTACCGTAACTACCTTGACTAGCCTCGTCAACATCCCCTGTGTGCTACACCTGGACTCTCTAATATCCATCTTAACATCAAGATACTATCAGTGCTGATAACTCTAGGACTGATTCTATGACTGGGTATAATCGATCAAGGTAACATAAGATCAACGAAAATCAGCGGACCCATAGTATCAACGAATAGTAGAGACCTTCATTGTCGCGTGAAAAAAAAACAAATGAATAGTCCTTTTTTATCTTTTTTTTTCTTTTTTTTCTTGATAGTACGAATATATAGATAAGATATAAGATAAACATGTCTACTTTACTATATATTCTGATTATATTTATATCTATTATAATACCATGTTATACTATATATGGTATGAGGGCATGTATTATACATTAACACACGCAATCGATAGAAATCATTTTATCATATATATCCCCAATAGATGATAGGTCAAGCCACACGGTTCAAGTGTGACTTGAGCCTTCCTATTCCCCCTCCCAGTACTATCCCACTTTCGCCGCCAGCGCCGGTGCCAGTGACAATGTCCCCCGTCTGAGCGACGAAGTCCTTCACTACTCTGTGGAATGGACAACCAATGTACGAAAGTCTTTTACCTGAGTTGAGGGTCAGCCGAGATGAGAGCAGCAAAATGCACTACTACTACTACTACTACTACTACTACTACTACTACTACTACTACTACTACTACTACTACTACCGGAATTCCTAGAAACACCCTTGTCGCCTTTGATGAGATGCTTGAAGTTGTCCACTGCTAGAGGGGAGGTAGTGTCCAAGAGCTCTATCGTTACTCGATCTACAGGCCTCTTGAAAATGGCCGAACCTTTCTGCGACCACTCATAGTCGGATAGATATCTATGGAAGGGATAAGGTACGCTGATAGTGTACAGGAAGGCATACGGAATAGTCTGCATAGGCTATGTTCTACTTTTGTATGTAATAGGAAAATCGCAATCACCATTGATCAATAAAGTATACGTTCGTTTCCCTCAGTTGAGTTTGGGAGTTTCCTCACTAAATATAAAAGTTCAGTACATACGAACTAGGGTAGAAATATACAGAAACCAATGAGAATTTCCCGAAATTCCTCAGAATTTTCATATTGTCACCAACATATGTGGTTGACCATGTGCATGTTTTCCCATACCACAGCGCATGGTTGACCATATTACAGCTCAGGTAGTCGTGCTACTTCTGACCCGCCAAGTTTGGTGATATCCGGACTGCTCAGACCGTATCTTAGGTTGGACCATACAAGATACAAAACAGGCCCGGTTAGAGCCTCCGTTAATTACTTGAGGTTGCACTGAGACACGAAGTCGACCCCTCTAGCATATGCAGTCCGACCGCTCTCCTCCGTATCGATGTCGATATCCAGAAAGACTACTGTGTTGTCCGCTGACATTTCTGCAACCAAAAGTTTTCCAAAACCAGTTGGGAGGTGCTAGTGCATCACCACTATGTGCCCGCTCCCTATGACGTGATGGGCCATTCGTGACCCTCACAAGAGACGCTCCATAAACACTCCACGTCACGTCACTACGTCACGTGACGGGTGATAACCGTAACGTTGGTTCTTTTACGAACTACCCTTTTCCATCCAACACAACTCTACTTGTGTCATGACCGTCAAAGCTGACGACGACCACAGTCCAACACATGGTGCATCATCCGAGAAACCATTCGAGAATCGTTTCCTCTTTCTTGAGGAGACCCTTCAAGAGGTGGCTCAGAACGAGACTAAGCTCCCGGACTTGTTAGATGAGAAGCCCTTGAGGAAGCTTGCTGACCCTGCTACTTTGGTTACCACTCTCCTTGGCTTTGGTCGTTTTACGCTCTATACACAGGTTAAAGGTCTATCTCTACTATGCCCAGATGGCAAACAGGTGTTCACTCTTGGTCGTTTTATATCCCGTTGGGATCTGTCTCGGTTGACAAAGCCTGACGAGTGGACTGAAGGAAAATGGTTGAAGATCAGATCTTGCTCTTCCTTGGCTCACCTGCTGGCTCCTATGACCCTTATGCTCCTTGCTTATGTTGCTCCCCCCAACATAGGTCTGGTTGTTCAAGAACATTGTATGAACAACAGGAAAGCACTTACGGCCTGGACGAACATCCCCATCTCGGACGACAAAGGTACCCCAAATGATCAAGAGAGAACTGCAAAAGCTCTCAGGTCTTGGTTGGAGTCTTGCTCTGAGGTTCTAGAGGCTGTGCAGACTGAGATCTCTGCTCCATTCAGGGATATTCATCCCGCAACGACATTGCGCAAGTGGTGCACGATACTGCCCAAGACTGGTCAAACGTGGAGTGAGTTCCTCTCGCATGAGCAAGCCCTCCACTCACAGCTTGAACCTGCGATAGCATGGACAGTCAGGAGGGACAAACTGATAAAGTGTCTCACCGATTGCTATGCCTACTTCAGAGAGAGTGAAGTGACTCGTGAACAACATCTCCCCAAGCTCCGATCCTCCCGCGAGTTAAAAACCTTCCAAGACAAACTGAAATCCATAGCCGAGTGCCATGCTCCACTCACCGTGGACGATGTTTTGGGAGCTGCACTGGAGCCTCTGTGGAGCAGGAGACCTAATGCGAGCAAACTGAAGAGTCGTGAGGAGACGTCTACTCCTAAACCTACCTCTGGTCCTGTTGTTGACAAGAACGCTCCAAGCCAAAAACAAGACAGGGATGCCAAAGCAAAAGACCAATCCATCAAGCCCAAGTCCAAAGGCTGTCATAACTGTGGTGACCTCAAGCACTGGAAGAGAGACTGTCCCTTGTTGAAGTCCAAGCCCGTGGAGGTCAAGACCGAATCTCCGATATCTGAGAGCAAGGTTGATGACGCCAAGCGAACCCGCAATGGACAAACCTACATATTGGGTGATGGTAATGGTCTGACTTGTGGTGATGTGAAAGTACTCCTCGGGGAGAGCTCTAGCTCAGAGAGCAAAACCCTGAAAGCAGGCCTCGATACATGCTCTAGTATCAATCTGGTGTCTTCCTCTGTCCTACCGAATTTCCGCTTCAAACTTATCGACCTTCACGATGGTTTCTCTGTTGACTCCGTCGGCGGGCAAGTAACCTTGAAGCGCATGGCAGAAATTCGACTCCTGGCACAAGGAAACGTGATTAAGGCTGACTTCTACATCGTTGATGCGCATCTCCTACCGGTCAACTTCGATCTCCTCATCGGCCAGAAAACTCTTCATGACCTTGGGTATCGACTCGTAAATGTTGATGAGAACAAGGACGACTCGGACCAAACATGGGTTGACTATCTTGCTCACCAAGGAGAACTACTTGCAGCCCATGAGGATCTTGAAGGAATCATCAGGTCTGAGCCTACCACCGGTCCAACAGCAGAATCCTTGAAAAAACTCACTTCGCCTACCCCAGTGGTCAAACCTCGTCTACAGGACTCCATGGAGACCATGGTTGCAAGAGGCGTGGCTTTCATGTTGGACGAGCTCGAAACTTGGCGGCCAGTTCGGGGGAACTGTCATTATCGGTGCAGGGCACGTGCCCTCTTGCCTGACCAACAACCTGAAGAGGATTGCCCGTCACAAACTCACGTGTTTGAGTTTGACTGGCTGGACCCACCCGATGCTGTCGTTCAAACCAAGCATTCGAAGAATCGCGATTTCTCTCAAGGTCTCCTACGACGCCTGAAAGAAGGATCCCGACAAAGCTTCGACACCGAGATCAACCGCTATCTGGCTCGGGGCTGGTGGGCTCCTCAACAAGATGTAGAGTCTCCCAGTTCTATAGGGGAGTACATCACGGTATTCCCAGTTGAGCAACCGGCTCATGTTGGTCATCCAGTCCGTCCCTGTGCGGACTGTAGGCTGAGGAACCTCTCTCTCCCTCATGCCTCCTACCACGGCTTCTCTATGGGAGAATGCGCCACGGTGCTCATGGCCTTTTCTCCAAGGCACCTAAAATTTAAAGATATATCGAAGGCCTTTTATAGGTTACACCTACCTCCATGGAGAGAGGTCCCCCTCCAGACCGGGGGAAGGAAGTACCGGTCTCGGAGGGTGGTATTCGGGCTTCGGTTCGGGCCCTTGGCCCTTGAAAGCTTCACCACTTATCTCATACGGGCAGTCATCAAGGCCTTGACCAACGAATCTCCTCCCATCCTTGCACCTGAAGAACTGTGCTGTTATGTCGAAGGACTGCTATTGGTTGCCTACTATGATGATTTCACTCTCGCAAGTCACCATAAACAACTCGTCGATGTTGTTGATGAGCTGCTCGACGAGATTGGTGGCAGGTTCGGCATGGTTTTCCCCTCCGACAAATCAGCGGACATTGGGACAGTCCCCGACAAGCACCTTGGTCTCAATTGGTGGTACGACGAGGGCCAACTCTCAGTCTCTTGTCCGTCTATACCTGACGAACTCTGGAACTCCGAAATCAACAAGCTCTTCTCGGACCCGACGAAGCTTACCAAGCGTTCTCTTTTCCGAGTTTGTGGTCTCGTTCTCGACCCCTTGGGATTCCATCCCGAACGTGAGCTCATCCTTAACCAACTGAGGTCTTGGGCTGGCTCATACGGTCATGCGATCGACCTCCCAACCTGGGATAAAACTATCCCAACATCTGAAGGTGACCGTGCGATACTCAAACAACTTCTTGATCAGATACGCTCATTATCCAACCCATGTCGCCATACCTCATGGGGACAAGTTGATACTCTGTATGCACAAGCGGACGCCTCTGATGTTGGCTTTGGGTGGACGATCAAGACCGATAACGATGCTCTGGTTGGCGAGAAGACCCGTACCTTTCCCACGACCTTGAGATGGCACTGCAATAGGAGGGAGATGTTCGCCATCGTAGACCTCTTGAAGAAGATCGTTCGCTTGGTGGAGTTGGGCCTGAAAGTGAAGAACGTCAGTCTCAGCTCCGACAATGGCTCTGCTGTCGCGTGGTGCAACAGCAACATCTCGAAGGTCAAAGGTTTCGACAAGCTAGCACTTGGACGACTCCTCAACCAGTACCACGAAGCCCAAGAGATCTTACAAGTCCGTGGTATCAATTTGATTACTTCTCACGTCAAGGGGACAGAGAATCAACGAGCCGACTCACTCTCTCGCTTCCCTTCGACCGTGATCTTCCCCACTCCGGTGGCCGACGCCGAGAAGAGCCCTGGTGTTTTCCTTATCGATCGATCATCGCCAACTGACACGGTGGACACTCAGGACGATTCAACTTGCAGCCTACCTACCTCTGGTTTCAAGAATAAATGTCGAGCCGTCCTAGGAGAAGACGACACCAAGTGGCGAGGTCTAGAGTTACGAAGGCTGATCTTACCTGTGGATCAACAAACTCAGAAGGAGCGCACGAATAACAAGTACTTCCATGCTTACGAAGGCAACCTGTACTTCAGGGACATCGAGCAAGTGGACCGCCTATATATCCCGAGTGAGAAGGGGCCTTGGAGTGGTAGACTCCGAACCGTCTTCATGGCTCTGGCACATCGTCATCACTATCCAGCTACCTCTATGCTCTCGCGACTCCGCGCTCTGGTGTGGTGGCCAAGCCTGAAGAAAGACGTTCGTGCCTTCGTCGCTCAATGTTTCGTCTGTAGACGTGAGTCTCTACGTATTCTACCTCTGGGTGGTCGCCAATCCCATCGCATCGGTGAAAGGTTCTCGACGCTCATGATTGACTTCGCTGGACCATTCCATGGCGTCACCGTCGATGCTCCTGGTGGACCTTGGACTTCTCCCAGCATTCTCCTTCTTCTCGACCCGTTTTCTGGTTGGCTGGAGTTGAAGCTATGCAAGGACCAAACTTCTCGATCTACAATAGAAGGCGTTCTATCATGGGCACTGCGGTATGGTCTACCCGTACGACTACACTCAGATCAAGGTAAAGCCTTCGTCTCGGAAATAAGTACAGCCCTCTGGAAATCCTTCGGTGTGACTCACACCACAGGAGCAGGATACCACCCTGAAGCACAAGGAGCGGTAGAGAACGCTGTGAAGTTCCTCAAGAGTGGCATACGCAAACTTACCGCCCACGTCCCAGTCAGTATGGTATTCGAGGGACTGGAATGGATCTCTCGAGTTCACAATACTTCTCCTCGGTACGACGAAGATATAACGCCTGAGATGGTGGTGTATGGAGCACGAACTAAAGACTGCCTGGACGTCTTACTGGAAGACTTCACTGATCAGACATCGTCGACTATCGACTCGGACTTCTTTAAGGCCCTCACTGACAAAGTCCAGACCATACATCGCCGGTGGAAGAATATCCTCGCCGAGAAAAGGGTTACAAACATGATTGGCGATGTTCGGGAAGACCCCGTCGGCGCGGGCGATACCACCTTCCGCGTGATCGTTGATGGCCTCCACAAACGACGTGTCCTTGGTCCCTACACAGTGAGCAACATCAACGACGAGGGAACAATGGCGACAATCAAGAAAGCAGGACAGAGAGCGGAAGACGAGAAGAGCGTACCGATCTGGCAACTCTTCAAGGCTCCATCACTGGACGTGGTCAGAAGTTATGGCGACTTGGATCTTCCTTCGGCTCAAGGGTTACGTTCATCACCTCCTTCGACTGGTAAACTGGTAGGCTTCAGAACCTATGGAGAAGACGATACTACCTACATTGATCTAGGCAAGGTCGTAGAGGAGGATGGCGATATTCTCACCATCCAGCGCTACTTCCTCGACGACAAGGACCGTTGGCATGATAAGAATGCTGATCATGAAAGAGTCGAAGTTGAGGTCAAGAGAGCCGATATCTGTCTTACTGGTGATGAAGTGAAGCTCGACAAGCAAGGTCGTGCAACGAGAAGCTTGCGTCGACTACTTGCTGCAGCTGGAGTAGACAACTAGCATTAAGAAAAGCTTAGCAGTGTTTTCGTAGTTGCTAGCTTGAGATTTTGCTATCTTGTTATAACTTGTTTTCTCGAGCTCTCTTACTTTTTCTCAACCTTTTTTTGGGGGAGGGGCGTGTGCCCGCTCCCTATGACGTGATGGGCCCTTCGTGACCCTCACAAGAGACGCTCCATAAACACTCCACGTCACGTCACTACGTCACGTGACGGGTGATAACCGTAACGTTGGTTCTTTTACGAACTACCCTTTTCCATCCAACACAACTCTACTTGTGTCATGACCGTCAAAGCTGACGACGACCACAGTCCAACACAACTATGATCGCTGTCCCAATAGGACACTATGTGTCTTCCTCGAGTAAAAGAAACCCTCGAGTAAGCTTATGATGAAAATAGTCTACATCGGTTAAGTATAATTAGGTAACCATTCCCCTGCTATTACACAGTTGTGACCTCAATCAGCTGCTTCGCTCCGCTGTTCAGCGCGAAAAGACTTGCACTTTTCGGCAGATGTAGGGTAAGAGCGGTCTGAGCCGCAGGGTCTATCACCAAAGACACGTCACGATAGACTAGGAAAGCTGACTACAGGGTATGCCCTATAACGTGAAGTTGACCAGTAAATGAACTTGAGTTCATCGTAGCGTTTTGAGGGTGGGCATGGGCCCGACTATTTCAATCATGATTCCAATTAGGTTTGTCTGTACTACTACTACTGTTATTCCGTATTAAATGCCTAGCATAACACCAGCTGGTATTACCAACTTCAACTACTCTGCATGTTTCAGTATAGCAGCTGCTCAAGGGCTGCGTTCTCTGGTACCTTTCGAGAGGAGAATCGTAATAACATCCGCCCGAGAGGTTCCAAATTTTCATTCGCAACTGCTGGGCTTTGTCGCTCCTGTGGTGATTTACGAAAAAAGAATCAGGCGAAAATTTACATCGCAGCTCGAAAAAACATCGATTATTGTAAATCCAAAATATTCATATGTAGTTGACTTAGGCATTTCATCGTATTATGTATACTACGAGCCTTCATAGATCCACGGTTAACCTTATAATCATTCATAGTTATATCATATATCATATTTAGTTTTTATTATCAAACCAGATATATATGAAAATATATTTTCTACTTTTACCAAAATTGTGATGCAGTGATTTTCTCGGTGTATTTCCGCGCCTATTGATTTTTCGAACTCTGCCAATCGCGAATTCGAGGACTTTAAACAGTGACTTCTCTTGAAGTCGTCGATTCCAACGCTGAAATGATTGTGAACTTGTCCAAGGATTCTCTTCGTGCTGGTCATCATCATCATCGCTCTTTCACTGTATGCGTATCTTCAGATAAACGCTGAGGACCAAGATTCTCTACAGCACAATGGTGGTCTCACGTCTACGTTGCAGATTCTGTTCGAGCAAATGTCTGACGGTTCGACAGGACCCGCGGACATCCGAAGGTTTTTCGATCAGTGCAAGAAGGTTTGCCCGGAGCTCATGCGGGAGCCTTATCGACAGCATGACTCGCAGGTGAAGGGGAAACTACTTTTAAAGAGAATATGGAATTGCTCAATTTGATTGAGAACATTTGTTGTCTACTATCGTACTAGTTGAATTTTATTATTCTCTTGTGGAATTGCATAATGCATTTTATTGAGGAGTAATGAAATGAAATGCAAATTGCATTTCACCGAGTGAATTGGCCGTTGCACTCAGCTATGGAGGGTATCCGAGGTCGCTGCTAGGTTGGTAGAGATGAGATCCGAATTTGGTATTTTTCTCTGTGTAGGGGAATATTACAAAGTTAATGATAAGACACTCTTAGCGTCTCCGCAGAGTCACGGAATCACTTAGAAGGTTCCGCGTTGTCTTTCGATCGATTGTGTATAAAAAGTGTATTTAATTCCATTGAAGACTATGTTACCGGTTGGACGGGGTTAACTGCAACTCAACACTCGGGGATTGGGGTGAAGAATCTTGATAGTATTAACAAGCAGCAGTTTCATCAACATCATGGGCCCACGATAGAATAGAGATGCGGGGTATTTCAACACAACCCTTTAGTGAATAAGGCTCAATCAATTCATCGATTTGTCTGATGGGTTTTTGGCCAGAGGAGCTTCGCTCCGCTCGTAGGTTCTCCTGGAAGCTGTACTGGATGCTTTACCACCAGACACACAGAGAATGTTCCAATTCAAATTGAAGGATTCTGTTTTATGTAGGCTAGCGTTTTAACACGGGTTAAAACGGTGGGTTTCAGGTGATAACTGTAACTATGTTAACCATATAAATACTACTGACCATATGCTTCGACTGAAGATCGGCGCGCATCCGCACCCTGGCGAGCCTGTCGTGGTAGAACTCCATCGCGAAGATGTCAGTGAGAAATGGGGCCTCCAGTGGGACGAGGAATCATACAAGCAACGACGACACCTGGTAAGTGGCATATACAGTGGGATGGTATCCAAGGTTGAAGCATGGAAGATACGGATTAGGCCCGTTTGGGTACCTCGAGGAAGGAGGAGGTGGAAAATCTGTTCGATATTGTCGAAATTCGGAGAGCACTCTACTCCAATGTGTTTATAATACAAAAATCTTCATCACTACCGCGCGCCACGAAATAGGTCTTTCTATTCACAGGTGATTCGATCGCTATCATCGACCTCAAGGGTTGCCCTGCAACTTAGCGGTTACGTTGGCTGGCAATGTGTTAGAGTCAACGACAGTACCTCTCGGATGGATATGCGCCAGGAGCTGTCCCAACGATTAAACGTGGAAATGGCACTTTTACCACCACCTTCAGTGCAGAGCAGCTCATCGGACCTGGATTGGCTTATAAAGGCTACTTATAGTCCTCGTAAGCACCTATAATCGTTTGGGTGAATTATTCCGATGTGGTGTGGGGAAAGGATCTCCGTGGGAATGTTCCATAGGCCTTTTCTGAGTTTCAAGAGCGCTCCCACGATCGGGTTTTACATGTGAAATCCAACCCTCGGAGCTTCCTATATAATACGCCGATCGAACCGCATGTTGCCGATGAGAATTGAAGTCGAATCGTCCGTCACGCGCCACGAAATTGGAGATAAAAAATGGGACCTTTTTTCAGAGCTGAACCGAGAGGTCATTTCCGACTATCACTGTGACGAGTGCAAGGCTGATACCTCTTGTAACGGTGGACGGAATTTCGTGGCGCGTGACGCAATTTGATCCCCTTTAGGTACTCGTATTACTGAGATAGCATCGTCGATGCCTCCTTGTCTGATTGTTCATATTTGGAGGGACAAGTTCTTCACTGGCGTGAAAGATACCACATACGTGTCTTTCGATCGGTACGTTTGGGGGGGCGGATTTCATAGGAATCCAGTAAATCTTCGCGCTGCGCACAGCAGCAGACTTGGGCCGAGAAAGAGTAATTTCGGACACACTCGATCGCTATGGTGTGTTAGGAAGGTCGATTCATTTACTGACCAAACGTTGTGGTTTTGTTAAAGATCTTCGCGTGTACACTGTGTCTTGGTAGTGTCGGAAAAAATATGCACATGGTCAACTGCATGTGTTGGTGACAATATGGAATTTCAACACACTCTGAACACTTCTACCCGAACTCGTATGCAAACTCCTGAGCTGAGGAAAGTGAACATATATTCCAACAATGTATATTGGTGATGACAATAAACGTTATACACTGCATGTAAAAGTTCGAGTTTAAAACGTTGTCAATGGTTTTTCACCATTATTATCATTATGTTTCCCAAATATCGTTGATAAACTCTTATAATTAACTAAGTTCTATTAGAAAAAGTGATTTGCATAATGATAGGGTATGTCCACCTACGCAGGCACTTGCGCACTCTTGAGACGCCCGATGGTCGGCAGATCTACCGCCTCACAGGAGTCGTGGAGCACTTGGGCTATCGGCTCGATAGCGGCCATTATGTGGCGTATGTCGCTCGAGATGCTCCTGATGGCGAACAATGGTACTGGTGTAGTGTAATGGGTATTGTATTGTTGATTCCATGTAGGTACTTTTGTTCTGATTCTGTGGTGGAGCCCATATCGTTTGAAGAGGTAGCGACGAAGCATGCCTATCTGCTATTCTATGTCCGAATGGACTGATCTTCTAGTCGTCGTTTATGAGTCCATCACAAACCGCTGATGCATTGCTGTTTCTAGTAGAGGGGCGACCCTCGGTTCCTCGTATCATACTTATAGTCGGCGAGGTGTCGCGTTGGGAGGGGGGTATTGTTTGGGTGAAGTGGCGGATGGATGGTATGGCAAGTGCCCTACCTTACGACTGTGCTCTCATCGCGTGGCTGGTACCGAGTGGAAATCGATCATGTGATCGATTTGAAGATATTCTTCAGCGTGCGGCATCGAGTATGAGTACAGAGACTCTTGACAGGCAGTTGGCACTGTGCGGGACGGAGAAAGATATTTACGAGGTCTGCCGATGTGCTGAACTTAGTGGAGCGAAGATCACTTGGTGTACAGCAACTCTATTGCTTTGTCGTCTTGGTGGAAACAATAGTGCAGAGAAGTGCTCACCTGTGAGGAAGTGCCCACTAGGGCGTACGCTGAGGTCTACAGTAGAGCGAGTATATTGTGACTTGCTTGGTGATGGTGTGCTCGAGGAAGCGATAGTGGAGGAAATTTGGAAGGTCCTTTGTTGTGTATATGTGAATCGGAGGTATCAGGGGGAGGTGACAGTAAGGAGTTGCATTGCTACATGTGAGTTGAACGAACGGCGTTTTATATTTCCTTCGGGTGGGGATTTTTTGTTAGCGGAGCGAAGCTGTTTGTGTAGGTAAAATAACGTTGCCGTTATTACCATGCGGAGGATTTCACGGGGAACTGCCTCGCATAGTGGGAAGGCTGAGGAAGGTGAGTGGAGACGCGCAAACTCCCAGGGGACTCCCCTGGGGGGGGGCAAACTAGAGTCATCTACGTTGGGTGACGATACGCGAGGGAGTTGCATGTAGGGATAAGCCTACTGCTTTACTATGGTGCTCTTACTAGGGCATTAGGCTATTGTTTGCAATGATAATTTATCATTGCAAAACAACTGTTGTGGACAGTGTTGGAGGAATATATGTTTGCTTCCTCAACTGAGTTCAGCAGTTCCCTCGCTAATTATAAGAGTTTGTAGACAAATTCAAATTGAAGTGACGAAAAACCAACGAGAATTCTTCCAAAATTCCCTCAGAATTCACATATTTTCACCAAAACGTGTAGTTGACCATTTGAAAACATTTCCGCTTAAATTGTGATAGTGCTGCTAAAATCGTGAGTGTTCCTGGGCCCCACTTAGGTCTCTACAGTGGAGCTCGCTGATATCAGTGTAGCAGTGCAACGACTACTCCCAGCAGAGAGGCTGGAGGCTGCCACGACTTTGCAACAGCTGGTTGACGAGGTTACCGCTTATTTATCGACTACTGATTGAAACCTAAGTGCAGACTGACATGGTGCATGCTGTTGTCGTTTAAACGTGTTGGTTTCTCTCACGGGCGTTCTTGGTCTCTCAGAGAAGCAATGATAGTAACAACTGTGACCCGATCAAATTGCGTCACGCGCCACGAAATTCCGTCTGCTATTACAAGAAGTATCAGCCTTCGAATAGTTCGTAGTTCTCCGTGTATGCATCGTCTCGATAGAGTGACGACGGCCGAACTACTACGACTTTTCCTAGGAGTTTTCAGACTTCTCAAGACGATTGCCCGAAGCCGACGATTAGCGCTGCTGTGGAGGTTCCTCTATGTGGCCAAGACGGTCGCCGGCGTGTTGGGCAGGTGGAACAAGGCAGCACTGGAAGTGAGGGAATTTCGCGGGGAAAAGCATTCTAGCTGGGGATCGAACTTGGGACCTCCGGAGCCCCAACATGACAACTCTTCCACGAGGGCAACTCCTCCTTCTCGTCGGTCGAGACTCCGTTGCTGTAGCAATCCCGGATGCATGGGAGAGTGCTTCGCTCCGTCGCCTGATCTTTTCAACACTTATTCCCCGCCTATAATTTCAAGCTGAGCAGTGCATGGCGAATTATTGCATAATCTTGTTGGGTTGTGTTTTTTTGTGGTGAGAAAGTTACCTCCTCCGTAGCCGATGCCCCTCCCAGTTACCAATGCTTCTTCCTGTCCTCCACCGCATGTTCGTCTGCTGAATGACGCAGAGTTCGCCCAAGTAGGAGGTCACTTGGGACGAGACAATAATTGAATATTTTCTCAGTGCCTGTTAAACGTCGACTACGTGATGTGGCTCGCGTCAGAGGGCTTCTTCCAGGACGAGGCGTTTCTTAATTATTTGAAGTACCTCGAGTATCTCCGTCAACGTAGCATAGACTTTGTCCGGTTCTTTTCGTGAAGAATGGAAGTTTCTTTCAGCGTCCTACTTCCACCTGTTGGTCTACCCAAGTGCCATGGATATGATAAGAATTCTGCAATGCCCATCAGTTCGACAGCAGTTATTGAAGGAGCCAACTGCAGCTCGAGCGGTCCTGCAGGAGCAATTGTGGTGTGCTTGGGGGCTGCGGAAGGAAGAAGAGTTGAACCAGAATGATGAAGTTGATGAGGAGATGCTGAAGAGTGAAATCATTCAAAGTGAATAATAACACCTCAATTCTGCGCTGTGTTGTGGTCACGGCTTGATGACTATAATTTGTAGTTTTCCCGTCTTGAATGGTGCCGCGACGCCCACTGGTTCAGAAAGGCAAGTCGTTGCTTGAATACTGTTCATGACGAGATGCTTCATGTGAAGCGACACAATATAGGGCTTCCTATCACGTTCTGTCACTCGCGTACTGTTGTATTCTAGTTGGTGCATAATGTGAGGTTACTCCAACTATCATCCCACGTTATTCCAAACAAGTTCTGACTATGGCATAGCTCATTACTGATTCTCGGTAGTACAACGTCTATTATAGCACCTAGTCCAACTTGGAATTATGCACGCAGGCATTACTATAATATCGTTGATGTTGTCGGTTCCCCACTGCTCTTGATGGGAGCTGGTGAATCAGATATTATCAGGAGTTCCTCGTTTCCGCTGAGAAGAGGCATGTTGAAGACGAAGGAATTCATCGTTGACCCAAAGCGGCAAATGCTGGTGTTGGTTTCAGGAGCGGCTTGCAGGGTTGATTCTCCGATTAAAAAAGCGAATGCGGACTTTTCAGGAAGTGGTCGTGTTTTTGTAGGCTTACGAAATTTAGTGCAAGTTCGACTTTCTTGTGCAAATCGAACTTGCACTAAAGTGCACTTGCCTGACAAGAAGCTTGTCAGGCTCAGCTCGGTGATTCAGTCAGGGTCCCGACGACTTGGCCAGTTATCGTCTGAACCATTTCGGATGACTACTCAACTTACATATCAATCAAATGTATCGCTTTCACCGCCCGACTACCGTGGCTTGGACTTGAGCCTCATCGAGCTATTGAGGACTTACCTCTTGTCGAGTGGGGCCATATCTCAAGGAATAGGGTATATCAATTCGCAATTATCACGAGAATATCAACGGCGTGCGGAGGCTTATGATAAGAGATGGACTGAATCATTCCAGAATCTCTTCGTGCAGGGCAGACTCGAGCCAGAGCTCCGATACCACAATGAATCTGGCCTCTCAGTTATAGCTCAGTAGTGCGAGTGATGTTACTCGACTTCTGGCAACAAACCATATCTACTTCGGCAGTTGGCGACAGTCGTATACTATGGCTGGTAGTCTATGGCTGCCATAGACTACCAGCGCAAGATATCCAAACGCGTGATTGAATCTCGTACTCTGGGTCAGGCCGTGACGTGTGTTGGAGACTACAATATGATCCTTACGACATTGATCGTTCCCATAACGTGATGTGAATATCTTAAAGATGCGTTAACCGAAGTATATGGGAGGCATCTGAGAGCAGGAGTGGACCATCCTACAGTGCTGTACACCGATGTTGGATGCTGTGCAGTATCCAGGGACGGCTCAGGAACCCTCCAAAGATACGTCCCTTGTGGAGTCAATATACGATTAGATCCGATGCATTGCATAATGAGAATGGTGAGAACTACTGACCAGTCGCACTTGCTCAAGAACAAGTTTGCTAAAGATTTGTCGAAAGCCTTTTTCATCTGCAACTTGGAAGACGAGAGGGCCCTGCGAGCTGCTAGGGAGGCCTTGCCAAGGCCTCCCAGTCATACCCAAGGCCGCCTTGGGTATGACTGGGAGGATCCCCAAAGCGGAGGGATTGAGATCCGTCAGAAGAGCGGTGCCAGAGCCGAACGAACTCGACTCAAGGGTCGAACGGGTCATTCGTACATACCATTCCGTGGACAAATCGATGAAGCGAGAGTGGCCCACTCTGAGTGGGAGGAAGAGTGCGCTCTGAAAGAGCTCACCGGACAGAGTGAGCCCTCAACACGTATGGCGGCTCCGCTCGGGTCGCACTGCCGACCGCTACTGGGCGAAACCTTCTGGTTAACCTATGAACATCAGCATATCCATCTGCTGGGCGGTTGTCTGAAAGATTGCGCAGAAAACATGATGAAGGTAGGGACGACCAGATAACGGAACAGCTCGATAGAATTGGATCATTTCCGCTCCCTTCGGGGTACATCTAGGGTAGAATGTGTATATTCTCTCTATGATCGTGCACTCAAAAGCCTTACATGCGTGTCTCGCTCGTTGTACAATCTGAAGTTATTATGGACGATTCATGCGGTCAATCGTCGTGCAAGACTCCGTCTCGGCATGCGTGTCCCCGATGTTTACCAAACTCCGAGAGAGATTGAACTCATGGGAGATGTCGCGAGGGAAATGTACGCAGATTTTCGATTGGTGGCACGTGATGCACCTCTTCCGATCGCGGGATTCGAGTATTGCGCGTCAGCACACGAGATACCACCCGAGGAGGACATCCTCAGTGCACAGAGGAGCGATCCTTGATGAGATTATGAACGACGAACATGACACAACCGCCGACACGGAGAGTGCTGGATTTAGGTCCATTCTAGAAGGTGAAATCGACAGTGACGATGAAGCAAAAGAGCCAGCGGGCGAATCTGATTCCGATAAGAGTACTGACTCCGATGAAGAGCCTTGTGAAGGACGAACTTCCGATCCTCTACCCGTGGCAACTGAGCGCCGTAAGTTCCTGAGATGGCGGACCAAGGCTCAGAGTGCAAGTTACTTCCGCATAGATCACGAGGTCGGTGGTGCGATGGAACGTGCATTCACTTCTCTCCGTTTGGAATCCAAACTTTGGAGTACCCCAGGGTAACAGCCGCCGAACTGTTGAAACTCTATACTCGTGATTACTTCACGAAGGAACGTGCGAATCATGAGATCGATGGGAGAAGACCGATATCTTATCATCCGACGTCCATCTTATACGTAGAGCAGTGGCCGTCAAGATACCGTAACTTACGGTCCGTAAGCGTAGCTCTTTCGCTGGATCGGCTGGAAGCTTCAATCTCAAAAGTATGAAAGCTTTCGGGATTCTGGAGAGATCACTCGCAGCTCGGTTTTCGAATAAATTCCCGCCTGAGGCGGTGGTCGTGGTTCACGAGCACGCGACTTTGGATAGCGGACCTGCAGAGATAACAGCCAATGGTCTAGAGCATGCGTTAGAGACTCGGCCGCGTAAGCGAATGAGAATCAGCCAAGCCGAAGACCCTGTGCAGCAAGCAATAAAGCCTCGAGCACAAGGTCAAGTGCCCCGGCAGTCTCCAAGGGAATTCAAGGGTCGGAAATGTAGGTTTTGCGGGAAAATACTCCGAAAGGGCTTCAACGAGCCTATCTACGATGAGAGCACCCACGGATTATATCCCTACCGTGATGCTGCTGCAGAAAACAAAAAGGATGAGGAGAAGAAGGTTTTGATGTCCGATACCTTGATGGGTGCAGAGTCTGCACTGCAGACAAAATTGGTCGTAAATGTTCGAAGTGCCGAAGACCGTATAAATCATGGTTAGTTCGCAAAGGACGCTCGTTGCATCACCAGCAGTTCCGAGCTTCAGTGGGCAACGATAAATATACACAAGTTATTTGGTGCCCACTCTTGGATGGTGAAGAAGAACTAGAAACTCTCCAGAGCGAGCAGATCCGAAGGAAGCGCGAGCGCTGGCGGGAGGCAAACGAGAGGAAGAAGAACAAATAAGTATTTGGTTTGGTTTGCTGAATTCACTTCACTCATGTTGATGTCGTGTGCCACATCCTCGTAAGCAGAAAGCAAACTCGTCGACTGTTCGCGAGTCCATCTCCGGAAGTGAAAGAGCATGTGCTAGCGAACCCATATCGCAGACCGGAATAGTGGTGCCTTTATCCGAAGGTTTATAATGTCTCAATATATTCGAGTTGAAAGTTTCAACTTGAAACACCTCGACATAGGGTGGGCACCGGCTAAAAAGGGATATCTTCGACATTTTAAAAAGAAAACCAGATCGAAGGAGATCCTTGGCCAAGGAGGTCAAACCCTAAGAGTAGCGGGCGATTTTAATCCATGCCTATCGGTGGTTGCCGTGCCATCTACAAGTGACGAATGGTTAGAAGACCTCTTTAGCGAGCTGATACACAGACATAATGATCGCTTTCCGGCTCGGATTTACCTTGATAAAGATTGTTGTGGTGGAATACCAGGGGTTAAATCCACTCCATCAGCTACATGGAAAAAATACTTAAAATAGTATTAGATGGAATGCACTCAATAATGAGAATGGGGCGAGAGGCAATAGTTTACGACCAATAAATATGCCTCTATGATGTGCGTAGCCTTCCATGACAGATACCGGCTGAAAATCCTCGCCTACCAGCCTTCCTCCGGGACATATCTCGAGCCATTTATCAGGCACATCCTGGGGATGTGGAGAATGTGCTGCATGCGAAGAGGCTCGTGGGAGGTACTACACCAATCTCGCGTGTGGATCGCTGTAGCGGAGGGTTATAGGTGATGGTGATGAGACCGCCGAACGCGTTAAGCAAGTTATCGCTTCTTACCGGAAAGCTGATGCTGTCGCTCTATTAATTAATTAATGTATTAATGGATACCTTTTAGAAGGCCGAGAGCGTACGATCATGGTCATCCAGGGTTGTCGATTTCATGGAAATCGCAAGGCCATTTCTGAAATTGAAATTTCATATGGAAATTTCCATGAAATTTGTTTCAAAGGTGGAAAAAAAATTTCGCTCCGCCGGGTACCGGCGGAGGTCTTGTTTCTCTAAAAATCTCTGCTTGATCTTGTCGAAAAACTCCTTCAAACGGAGTTCCCTAGTTTCTCTAAAAATATCAGCCCTGATCTTTTTTACTTCTCCATATGTGAGTGAGTTGTACCCCGGATGAAGCGAGCCTAGGAGCGCACTGGTGCTGTTAGAAGTAGTGTCTCTGAGACTCCAGCTCATAGCCGTAGCCAGAGCAACAAGATTCTTATGAAATGATCTCCAGCTTGCACCTTAACCAAGAAGTCCGAAATCTTGGGAGCAAACTTGAGGGGAGGAATCCTCCCAAAGGATCGCTGTTGGTGCTTGCTGTTGAGGCCATCATAGAATACCTTCGGAGTTTTCGACACTTCTTGGTAGGGGGTGGTAGGCTACCACTGGTACCAGGCCCAATTCGGCCCAGTGTTCACGGCGAACATG